CTTCTAATTATTTTTAAAAAGTTACGTATATATTTAAATGATAATAATAATATTTTTTTAAGAAAGTATATTTTAATTTTAATGTTTTATTTGATTTTCTTCACTTATTTTGATATTTGTCTGAAATTAAATTATTTTAAATATAAGAAATTTGAAGTCAAATCAAAAGGAAACACAAAGAAAATAAAAGGAATAAATAAAATAAATTATAAAAAGAGAAAATATAATGAATGAAGTAAAGTATAGTCATATATATGTTGGGTTTTGGGTCTTTTTTTCTTTCTATGTGGATAAATAAAAGTCCACGGTATTGGGTTTCACTCCTTTCCTTTGTGAATAAATTTTGCTCACTTTTGCTCATAACCCCAGTATTATGGTGCATATGTAAGACTTTCTTTTAGGTCTTATTTTGGAAGAATCACAAGAGATTGAGAACAGCAGAAAAGTGAGAGAGTGCAGATTTTTGCATAAGCCCTAGTAGCCAATTTTAAATTGTGATTCCCGCTTCGTTTCTTATCCGATTGAGTTGATTTTGGGACAGCTTGTTCCTTTCAACTTATCTTTGATTGGGAACTGATAGAGGGTGATTTGGAGTCCTGTAGCTCCATATTTTTGCTCGTGAACAGTAGTTGCGTATTTGATGATTTTGCTTCTTTTATTTCTCTAATTTTTGGTGTTATCTTGTAGTTGTGTTGCTCATTAATTGGCACTTTATTGGTGCCCATTTTGGAGAACACTTTTGTAACTCTTGTTGATTTTAGTGGAGCTTTGGCCTTGTGATTTTTACTCTTCGCACCGAAGAGATTTTTCACGTTAAATTTGGCGTCTCATGTGTTGATTTATTTTGCTTGCTTGGTTGATTTGTTTGCTGCCCCAAACAGTGTTTTCTCTTGCATTATTTTGTCTTCTCTTGGTTCAGATAAAAGGGAAACTTTTGACTTGAGTTTTCTTCCGTTATTGCCCAGTCATGCACATTTATTTTGTGCTTGCCTTTCCCAACAATATATGTGAGAGAGCTTATGAAGAATTCATTTATCGCTACATTGATGGTTGGGGTGGACGGGATGCTTGATAACATGAATGACAGTGAGATTGAAGAAAATAAAGGAGTTGGCTAAGAAGATTGGATGTGTTGCAATGAAAAAACAACAGTAGATCAACAACTAGTATGAAAATTGGATACGTTGGCAATGACTTCATTCTTTTTTAGCAACTCTTTAATTACAATTTTTATATAGACTTCAATTCAAGTAAAACATTTTAAAGCACATATGAAAAGAGAATACATTAATGAAGAAGCTACTGACGGAAGTAACGGAGAAAAGAATACTAACAACGATAAATAATAAGATAATTGAAGGAAAAGGAACAAGAGGTAATCAAAATGGAAGCAAAGAGACAAGTTGAATCAAGTCTCTGTTATCAGTTTTGAGTTTACTTGTAGAGAAATATGTAGACTCTCTGTTTTGAGTTTAATTCGACAAATTCAGTACAAAAATACGTATCAATTTGAGTATTCATCATTTCTTGAACTTGAACAATTTGTGTATTCATCATATCTTGAACTTGAATCAACTTGAGTATCCATCATTTCTGTGAAAATTGTTATTTATCCATTGGATGATCATCAACAGATTCAGTAAAAACAGTTGAACACGCATTCGTCCATTCTCTCCTTCCATAACAACAATTTCGTCAACATCTTCAATCAATCATCAATTTTCTTCACTTTTTTTCTGTAAAAATGGGATATGTGATTCTTATGTGAGGAGTTAGATGTTATATATTCTACTTAGCTAGTTATAGTTAGTTAAATAACTAATTTGTTCAAATACTAGTGTATTACACTCTATGTAATTCTTACAGTTAAGATCATTTAGTGGGGTATATAAGAATAATGTATGTTATTTATGTAACTATATACTTCGGTATAGTATTCGATATTTCAGTATGTTATTTCTAAATATCAAATATCATATCGAATACTAAATAATTTAAAATGTGTACCATAATACCAAAATCACAGTATCGAAAATTTCAATATGGTATGTTAATTCGATATATGTCATGCCATGCCTACCCCCACCTACTGTTAGAAAAATGACTCACATATACCCTTGCGGTTACAAAAGTGGTTCACGTATACACTTATATCTGATGAAAGTGAAAAAAAGTAAATCCAAAATATATTTTTTATTTTTTTTAATAGGGGTATATTTGATCCTTTTCAAAAATGACTCACATGACTTCTTCTTTTTACTTCTGTAGTTAGGGGTGTTCACGGTTTGGATAAAAACCGATCCAAACCGAAAAATCAAATAAAACCGATTTTATTTGGGTTTGGTTTGGTTTGGTTTTTAGATTTTTTGAAAATCGATAATATTTGGTTTGGTTATGGTTTTATTCAAAAAAATCGAAGAAATAACCGAACCGAACCGATAAATTATATACATATATTTTATTAATATACATACTTAATATATTGTTTTTATAATCAATTTTAAAGATCTTATACATATTTTTATTAAAATTTCTTTATAATTTAGTTATTGAAAGCAAAAATGCCCAAGATTGAAAACATTTATCTTATTGATTTCATGTATCTGAGTGTCTAGGTCAATTCTTTGTGTGACTGAAAATGTTATTGTCTCTCCTTCTAGGCCAATATAGTGAATTTTAAAGCTTTATTGATAATAAATTCAGTGATCGAAAAGTTCAGTAATTTAAGTCATACTAACTATTTTTCATTTTGAATGGATTGTTGTCACTTTTTTCACATTTTGAATGAATTGTTTCTTTTATTTTTGTGTATGGTTAATAACCGAACCAACCAAATCGATACCGATAACCACCAAACCGACAAATGTATATTATATTTGGTTTGGTTTGGTTTTGATAATTTTAAAACCAATTAAATTGGTTTGGTTTTAATTTTGACCAATAACCGATCCAAACCGACCCGTGAACACCCCTATCTGTAGTTATCATTATTTGAGTTTCTTATTCTTATTTTTATTTTTCTTTCATATTTTTTTCAAAGAGTAACTAAAATTAATTACTTTCCAGATATATTGTAATTTTTTATAAATGTAAAAAAAATTGTGACATATATGATAAATTTTTACAAGAAAGTTAGTGAAAAAAATAAATTTGATCATCAAAAAGTAAATTTTAGAAGAATCAATTACTATATCTTTTTGAGCAACTCTTTAATTATAACTTTTCCATCGACTTCAATTTAAGTAAAAGATTTAAAAGCATGTATGAAAAGGGAGTACATTAGTTAAGAAGCTACGACGGAAGTAATAGAGAAAAGAACAAATATGATAATCGAACGAAAAAGAATAAGAGGTAACAAAATGGAAGCAAAGAGACAAGTAATATGGAAGAATGAATACTCATTTCATTTGAATCAAGACTCTGTTATCAGTTTTGAGTATCAATGAATACCTCCAGTAGAGAAATATGTAGACTCTCTGTTTTCAGTTTTGAGTTTAATTCGACAAATTCAGTACATCAATTTGTGTATTCATCATTTCTTGAACTTGAACCAATTTGTGTATTCATCATTTCTTGAACTTGCAGCTCCATTTCTGTGAAAATTGTTAGTATTTAGCTGCAAGAAACAGGGGAATCATTCAGAAATCTAATCATTCAGAAACAGGGGAATACCATGAGTGAATAACCAGTAGAAACCAAGGAAGACGATGATGCAAACCAAGAGAACAATAATCCACTTGGCGATCCGTGTGCCACGGGATTCATCACCACCAGCAATTGGGTAGAAATCCCATTCGGCCATTCTCTGTCTAATTCCTCTCATAAAGTATCAAGTGAGAACCAATAAGAATTAAACGAGGATGGTGCCATTGAATAGTTGTCGAATAAAAAAATGTGACATTCTTTTTCAGACGAATTAAAATAAAAAGGGCATCACATGAATTAGGATAGAGGGAGTGTGTGTATATATATATATAGGGATTCTAGTTCTTGGACAAAATTTCGAGAAAAATGAGGAAGATGATTCTTTATAAAGTTTCCACTAGCTTGGGCCCATTTCACATACCTGCTTGCATCGTCTCGCGAAAACAGGAATAATTCTCTGTTATGACGTCGTACAGATGAATAATTTATTATTGAAAACTAGAATCATAGGCCTTCAATTTGATAGGTCGTAGGCTCTCTAGATCTTTATAGATTGAGAGAAAAACTTTGAGATATTTGACCTAATTTTAGAGAAACTCTTAAAAAAAGAAACTTGCAATAACTCTCGCCAACTTTTATTTGGCAACTTGCTTATTTCAAAACTTAAAATACACTCTTGAACAATTCAAATAGGTCATACCATGTACTAATTTAGACATTCCAAAAAGGGTGGGGTGTTACGATACACCTTTTATTAAATATTGTAATATAAATTGTTACTTAAAGAAAATAATGATAGGACTCCCTCCATTCCTTTTTTAACTTATCACAATTCATTTCACGGGAGTCGATTCAACTAATTTTCAGAGCTAAATTAAAGTATAAGAAATTTAAAATTTTAGATATTCGAAAACAATATGAAAAATACTATAAGTTGCAATCTTTCTCATATAAATATGAAAAACTATACATCTTAAATTATTAATCAAAATACATGTAATTTTGACTCCCAAAAAATGCAATGTAATAGTAACTAAAAAGGTATAGAAAGACTATTTCCATAGACGCTTGATTCAAGTAAAACATTTTAAAGCACATATGAAAAGGGAATACATTAATGAAGAAGCTATGACGGAAATAATGAAGAAAAGAATACTAACAGCAACAAATATTACGATAATCGAATCAAAAAGAAGAATAATTAATCTAAATGGAAGCAAAGAGAGAAGTAATAGAGATGAATGAATACTCATATTTCATTTTATTTGAATGACTAACAAGACTCTGTTTTTCAGTTTACAAAGAATGAGATATGAATTCGACAAATGTATTTCTCATTTGTTGAACTTCCATAACAAAGAATGAGATATGATTTCTTGAACTTGAATCAATTTGAGTATTCATCATTTCTTGAACTTTCAGAGACGATACGAGATGAACTGGACTGTGATTCAGAGATCCGGCATATCAGTTCTGCCATTTTTGACCTTCAAGTTCAATTTTCTCCCTGGTACAAATGTAGGACCGTTCGCCTGTTGATACGGCGACGGTGATGCTGAAACTGATGGTGGATGAGCCAAAAAGCTGTGATAAACTGGACTGTGATTCAGTGATTCCGGCATATCAGTTCCGCCACTGTTGACCTTCAAGTTCGATTTTCTCACTGGTACAAATGTAGTGCCATTTGCCTGTTGATACGGCGACGGTGGTGTTGCTGAAACTGACTGTGGATGAGCCATAAAGCCGAGATGAACTGCACTGTGACGATTCAGTGATTCTGGCATATCAGTTCCGCCATTGTTGACCTTCAAGTTAGATTTTCTCAGTGGTACAAATGTAGGGCCGTTCACCGGCGGCGGTGTTGGTGAAACTGACGGTGGACGAGCTGATTCCGAAATGGGTTTTCCACGTTTCTTAAACACTCTGAATCTCGCTGTAAAATCATTTTAGTACAAAAAAAAACAATCAGTATTTGAAAATTCAAGAACAGAGAAAGAACCCCATGTATGAAAATAAAAAAAGAAGAGCAGAAAACAGAGACCCCATGCTTACCAAGGATGGAAAACAGAGACCCCACGACTAATAAGAAGATGACAACAGAGACCCCAATTTTGGACTTTCGACTTAGAGCCATTTTCACGGAGAGCCAAAGAGGGAAAATTGGTTATTGAGCTTTTCTTCTGTAAATTTTGGATCTCTGAAGAAGAAGAAGCAAATCTGAGCGGTTACTTATAAAATTCAGTTACTTAAAAAGGCGGCAAAATTCAGTTATAAAATATAGTTATTGGATGAATGGGAATGCAAAAGGGTGTATTCTCTAGTAATGTACTCCTTTATCCTAATTTTTGTAGCACTTTTAAGGATTTCAAAATTTAAATAAGGTGAGAGTGACTTTTGTGATGGATAAAATGACGAAAGCGAGATTGAGATAGTTTGGACTTGTGAAGAGGAGGTGCGAGAAATAGGTTACAGAGGGTACGAGGAGAGGCAAAGGTAGACTGAAGAAGTATCAGGGAGAAGTGATAAGACAAGATATGACCCAACTTTAGATTCCGAGGACATGAGTTTAGATAGGAGGGTGTGTAGGACACATATTAGGATAGAGGTTAGAAGGTAATGTAGTATTTGTCTTGCTTGGGATGGTTGATGTTTGTCGTTGTACTAGTGGTATTATTATTGTTTAGTGTGTTTCAATTATTGCAATATTGTATTGTTGTTTTGCGTCTTTCTGGTACAGTTTGTCGTACTTACGTGTTACTTGCTATATTTTCTTCACTAACTCTTTGTATTGGAAACAACCTCTCTACCTCAATAAGTTAGTGGACTAGTGTAAGGTTTGCATATATTTATTTGTTTTAATTAGGTGTATAAAAAAATATTTGTTTACTAAAAAATGTTCCACACTCTTTAGCTTTGTGAAATGGGAAATGTTTCGAGAGGGACTTGAGGGGTAGTTATGTCATTAATCAATCTAATGCATGTTTTGAAACCTTTTGTACTATTTAACTTAAAAGGTGGTAGACAAATAGAGATATTGCTTCCATAGACCTCAATTTAAGTAAAATATTTCAAAACACGTAAGAAAATGGAGTAACATTAGTTGAGAAGCTACAACGGAAGTAGCGGAGAAAAGAACACTGACAAGAACAAATAATATGATAATCGAACGAAAAAGAATATGGATGAATGAATAAATTTCCAACATCACTGTTATTCCAAAAAAAAAAAAAAGAGTATTAGCATCCTCCATTTTTCTTCTTGGAAGGACCTGTTCCTCATGCAAATTATTTTTTTTGGAGAACTATAAGCGGGGAGAATACATTAGTGAAAATAATAAAGAAAAAGAAGAATAGCAATAACAAATATTACGATAATCGAATCAAAGAGACAAGTAATAGAGATGAATGAATAGGAAGACGCTCTGTTTACAGTTTACAAGAATGTATGAAAAGGGAGTACATTAGTAAAGAAGCTATTGTGTTTTATTTTTTTGTTAAAATTTAAATCTAATTGAAGCTTAACCAAGTTTTCTTATTGCATCCAAAAGTTTTGGTGTTGGCTTTTCAAACTGTACCAATATCCACAAATTCTTTTGTAAAATTTAGTGGATTGACAAATAACGTATGTAACAATCAATGTACAAGCAGAAGGGATAAAAATGTACAAGAACCAGGTCTGTAACATATCTCCAAAAAAAATCGATGAAACAAATCTTGATTGTATTAAGAGAACTACAAGCGATAATTCTACGCCTCTATAAAACACAACAGAGAGAGAGAGAGAGAGAGAGAGAGAGAGAGAGAACTGAAATAGAGAGAGAGATCGATCCACGAGTGTCAAAGAAAAGAAGAATCAACTACAACAAGATGAAGAAGAACATGTTCCTATCAAGTGAAATAGTTCATCTTTCTTTCATCTTTATACCTTTGAAAAATCATATTGCATCTACACAACTAACTACCCTTTCCATTTACACAAATGCAAAAGGAGAATCTTTGTTTATAATACGTTAGAATATGTGCTGCACCTGTTATCATGTGACACAAAAATTGATAACAAGGCAAGTTTTTCTATTAGCTTAAACCCCGAAAAGGTTGGATGAGAATACCAGCAGTAGGAGGGGCACCAATTTGGTTCTTCAACTTAGTCCCTCTGAATTTGTTCTGTTGTGACGTTCAACGATAATGGGGCTCTTTTGATCGTCTATTGATCTCGTTCTGTTATGACCTTCAATGTTAATGGGGCACTTTTGATCATCTATTGATCTCGTTCTGTTATGACCTTCAACGTTAATGGGGGTATTTTGATCATCTATTGATCTTGATTTTCTAGAAGAAGAATTTTTACGTGATCGTTGGGGAGGCTGGGCTTCAGGGTCATACTTTTGGGAGGCAAGGTAGTTGAGAGCAGTGACAATATCAGCAATGAGAGGCCGCATATTAGGTTGCTCCTGGACACACATTGCAGCAATTGCAAGAGCTTGGTATAAACCCCTCACAGGATAATGACCTTCTAGTACAGGATCTGCCATCTGGTGGAATTTCTTCCGGTCTTTGAACAATGGTCGCGCCTGCAGAAGTAGAGTTATCATGTTAGATAAGTGCTTCATAAGCAGATTCTCGTAATCATTGGAAAAAAAGGACTTCCAAATATTATAGTTCACAGCAAGAAAATCTTAAACGCGTTTCTCACTGGTCTATTCATTTTTATGTCTACCCATTCCATTCTTTCCTGGGAGGCCGAGGAGATATCAACAAAGGTCCAGTCACATCCTATTTACGATTAACAGATCAGGTTTTGGGGCTCATTCTTCCATGCCAAATTGTCATATGTAAATGAGGCTACATATAAGCAATATTATTTTATAATTGCAATCAGCGGCAATTGGAATGATATGATTGAGTGCTCAACAAATAGAGGAAGTATGTTTCAGCACATAGTTCTTAAACACAATGAAAATAATAGTCTCCTTACAAGTCAGCGCATGGTGCTCAACTTAAGATATGTTTATTGATCGACTAGATTTTTGAAGCATACATCTGTCTTTACCCAAAAGAAATTCAAGTGGTAGCTATGTAAAGTTAATTATCAGTAATTAATGTATGAACTAACATAGCGTACAAATCAAAGGACTTCATCTGATATATCAGGCACAGCGGGGCTGAATAGATGCATCAATGATACAGAGACAAGAATACTTTACAAGCCATATATACCTGATAATCATGTCCAAAAAGCTAGTAGTGATGTGTATCACTTATTTCTGTATTTTATTTCTTACATTTTACTTGATGAATCTGTGTTGCAATATAATTTTCCAGTCACTTGTCAAGATTCTGAACTAAAAACTCTAAACCACTATGATGTTTAAAAGGCACGAATGCAATAACGACCTGATTAAACCAATGCAAGATTCTTAAGTGAGGCCGCATATGGCCATGTAAAAAGGATACGGGGAAAATGTAGACCTTGACCTTCACACCGGAAAAATATTGGTAGAATTGGCTTCTTAGTAAAAGTAACATTCTATAGTTGCTCATGGATACTTAAATATAGGCCATTCTGGACAGCCCAGCCAGCACGACATCAGTTTCTACTTTCTAAGGCCGCCCATATGTACATGACTACCCCACACTCCACACCTTTCAATATGACCAAAAATGAAAAGATGACTCAGATAAGTCAGTATCAACTCTTTCAAGCACGAAGCAGAAAACTTGTCGCCTAAGAACTTCTAAACTGTTATGTATAATAGGCATTCAAAGGGGTTTAAAAAGGTCTTGGATTGCTACAAATCTACATTCATTGCCTTATGTTTTAAGGTTGGATGCTCAGATTTTGTAGCATAATATAATATCAGAGCTTAACTCTAGCAAACTCATCCTCACAGTCGTAAGTTCACATTGATTAAATCCAGAGTGAGATTACAGATGCGGGAGGGTAAAATTTATATGTCCGGTATAAAAGGCATAAAAGGGGGTTTACACAAGTCTTAGGCCACTCTATTTATTACCTTAATATTTTGGGGCTGATGCTCAACTTCTTTTACATAAACCACAAACAAGAAACAGGAGTGGACAAACCCTGTCTTGTCTGATAAAAAGTAATAAAGGAAAAATCATGTGTTATAACAGCATAACCACACAAATTCACATTTCGCAGATGAAGAGACAAAGACATCTTACCCAAGCAACAAGGTTTTGCTCGGTAGCAGATCTAGTATTGTCGATTGCTTTCCTGCCAGTAATAATCTCCAAAAGAACAACTCCAAAGCTGTAAATATCTGATTTGAATGTCAGTTGGCCAGTCATAGCATAATCTGGTGCACAATATCCATATGTGCCCATCACTCTAGTAGAGACATGGGTTTTGTCTCCAAGAGGACCCACTTTAGCCAAGCCAAAATCAGATAACTTTGGATGGTACCCCTCTCCAAGCAGAATATTAGAGCCCTTCAAGTCACGATAAATAACAGGCGGTTTCATTTTGTCATGCAAATACTCCAGGCCCCTTGCAGCACCTGCAGCTATCATCATTCGGGTGTTCCAATCAAGGCGTTTTTTATCTGACCAAGGGTCTGCAACATACGTTTATCAAGGCCAAGAAAATTAAAATTTGTTGGAAAGTAAGAAAATCCAAAAAAACAAATCTTTTCAATGGTATTTCTTCAGTGTACGGCATACCATGTAAATGGTCTTCTAATGAACCAAGAGGCATGTACTCGTAGACCAACACCCTATGATGTCCCTCGACACAATAACCAATTAATTTGACAAGATTGGGGTGGTCAGCCATACTTAAAGTGAGTACTTCCACAATGAATTCCCTGTTGCCCTGACATCCATCCGGATTGAGTTGTTTGATGGCTACAACCTTCCAGAAAAAAAAAACAGGCCTCAGCAAACAAACCAATTATCCTTAAAAACAACCACTTATGAGAACCAAGAAAGAACAAATACACGAAAGCTTCAAAACAGCAAGAGAGCCATGCAAGCAATCTCCTACAAGCAGCAAATTTTGATTAATCTAACAAGAACGGAGTCGAGCTGACCTGACCAGTATCTGCCAAAAAACCTTTGTATACTTTGCCAAAGCCTCCTTCACCCAAGAAGTAGGCTGCTTTAAAATTTTCTGTTGCGGCCACCAGTTCATTAAATTTAAACGCCCGTGCCCTATTCACTC